ACACACACACACACACACACACACACACACACACACACACACACACATGATGTATTTGCATCAAACCGAGGACTTCGCATTGACTTCCATTTGTTTTTGTAACTGTATTTATGCCTAACCCAGACATTGTCCCTAAAGTTAACCATTACTGATCTATAGCTAACCCTAACCTGAACAAAAACTTAATTCACACCATACTTCTAAACCCAACTAGTAAAGCACAGTCGAGCTGCAAACAAAGGGAAGACATTGAAGCGGTCCTCACTTTACATCAAAGACCTCACTGATAGTAACTATGGCGCAAATGTTCCTCACTCTGTAGTAGAAACAAGCACACACACACACACACACACACACACACACACACACACACACACTCATGCTTATCTTCTTTGAATCTGAAGATAAGCAATGCTCTGTGAATCTGCACATTGTCAGCTCAAGCACAACTACTATTAAACACACAGCCAGCCATTACTTGGCTCACTAAAGCACATTTGGTCCCAAAGCACATGAGCAGCTAATGTCCCTGAAATAGTCTAGTCTTTATGACACTCTTTAAAAATTCACTGTGTTCAAAACTAATTATAGGGTTGCATCAGACAAACCCATTTAAAGGGAATTCAACATATGCCAAACGAAAGCACATGAATGCAGCTGATGTTATCAATGTTTTCAAAGATTACTCTGATGCATCAGTTCCTAACAGGAAGGAGGCCTGCAGATGAACATGACACAACATGAATAAAATATTTTAAAGATCACCTTGTTTGTTCCAGCTTTACATTTAGAAAAAGGGTGGAGTACTCTCGTCATTAAGAAAATATTAGACATTTATAATGTTTGAGACATATATACAAAACTACGTGTGCTATGGAGTTGACCCATGCAGACATTTATTCATAATACAAAACCTGCATGCTCAACGTGAAATGCAAACAGATGCAAACTACCATGAAGAACATAGTGTGCCACAAAGGCTAGGATGAATAGGTWGGGACGGAAAGGAAAGCTTCCTGTTCAGCCTGCCAGATGGGTACTTTTGCTCTAGTGTGAAGCTCAAGCTGGCTTCAGTCCAGACAAGAGGCGCGATGGTGATATCTGTCCCCAGGGGAACAGGGCTATCTTTTGGTGTTCAGGTAGCAAAGGGGGGAAATGCCAGGGGTCGGCATCCTGCTTCTAAACCTGGAAGAGGAAACTAATCCAAGGTCAAAGAGGGCCACTGTGTTGAGTGAGATTTCACATAGCGGCCGGGTATTCAAAGTGTACTCTGAATACTCTAATTCCACCATCTTCATTAAAACTCTGCACCTGGGCCTGAGACTGATCCATGGGGAACCCCCTCATGGACACCGACAGCCAAGCCCCTAAATCTGTCCCCAGCTCCCTCACTCCCCACTTATCCCTTCTTCCTCATTTATTTTTACCCTTTTTTGCCATTTTAGTTAATATTCACCCAATGCTGAGCAAATGTGAGCAGGATTAGAGAAATAAAAGACAGGCAACATAGGGAAAAAGAAGAATGAGTACCACTATTTCAGCTTGTGACTCTCGCAATTAATAATGAGTTGTAATCAGAGACATTTTTCAGCACTTGTCCCAGTTTTTCAAAGCTTGGCTTCCAGTTGTCATCTGGTGTTGAAAGGGTGATACAGGCTTTAGATCCAACCAGCACCTGAAGTAAAGTAGTTTCAAATGTAGAAAAGAAAGTCAGTTTCAGATATAAAATACTTTTTGAGTTTTTTGGGAATGGGATTAGTCAGACAAAACTGGACAACTTTGTCAATAACACCAAAGGATTCATAAAGTTTAGAATGTATTTTTTTCATGTTCTCATTTTTGCCGTAGCTCTGCAGTCATCTATGACAATAATGAACAGAACAAACTCTTCAAGAATCAAGAATCGTTTATT